GGGGAAGCTGTTCACAAAGAGGAATTATAAAGCTGTTTTGTAGGGCTTTGTCACAAAGTGCTGCAGGTGATAGGACAGCAGACTGCACTGGTTTAGAGTTTCAAATAAAATGTATTATTGCCTTCCTAACATATCATGCAAAAATAATCCATTTTTATAAAAATAATGGTACTATAACCAGTGCTGTCACCTGATTTTAGAATTTCCTTTCAATGACTAGTCTATAGCAGCTTTCGTGACCAGGCTTATTTACGTAAGATGTTAGCACAGCTCATTCAGCATCATTAAAAGATGGTGGGTTCACAGTACACAAGTGCTTGATCTCATCCTGAATGGTGCATTAGGGATAGAGGCGTGGGTACACACAGGGGATTAGGTATCGCCACACTCTGTTACAATTCCTAATTTTTAAGCTCCTAGAAAAACCAAAAGGAACAAAGCTGTGGTCCACAAACCCTGTTTTCGGCACGTAGGCTCCCAATACAATGAATGGGAAGAGATGGGTGCTTCAGAATGAGACCCAGAAAAGGCAGAACACTAGGCAGGGAGCTGCATGAGCCAGCCATTGGAAGATTCTGATCACAGGGTTATGCTAAGCCCCATCCCTCACAGGATGGGTGGGGATGGTATTCCCAGCCCCTATTTGGCAGAAGTAGGGAATGGATTATTTGATGATGACCTGCTCTGTTTATTCTCTCTGGGAGACCCAGCACTGGCCACTATCAGAAGACAGGACACCAGGCTTGGACTTTTGATCTGACCCAGTACGGCCATGCTTATGACATATATGTCCTAAGTCTGGGCTGCAGAGAAGTACCTCGCTCTGCACAGGTGAGCCCCAAACCAGAACCCCTCTCCTGCCGTCAGGCAACTTCAGTGCCCATGTAATTTCTTGTGGTTTCTTCACCTGCCTCACTCCACACAAATGACAGCAGCTGTGCCAAGCCCACTCACCTGACTTCTTTAACCAGTGAGCTAAAAATTTTCACCTGATCTCTCACAAGTCCCTTCTCTGCCAGGAGGGGAGAAAGAAGATTCTTCCTCTCAGAAGAATGCTCTGAGCAATGGGATATTCTGATGTGGTGCTCGCTCGGTCTCATCTCTTGAAGTGGTTCCGTTAGGGATAAATAACGAAAGTGACTGTAGAAGAGAAACAGAACACAGGGTCGCCTGCCTCCCAGCTAAGTTCCCTAACCATGGGGACTACAGCATGTGTCTGTCTCTTCCTCTATCACCCAATGACTATTTAATATTTATTCCCAATGGAATAGTTAGTTGGGGGCATTAGCAAGAAGAGAGGGACTTTATAAATGACCCACATGGATGTTGGAAACAGAGAGTCCAGTCCCCCTTATCCACTCTCTCTTTCACTGCTTATCCCCAATGCAACAACTTCTAGAGGATAGATTGAGTTATCCCCTTAACATATTCCAGAGGTAAGGCTATAACTACTGAGTAGATGTGGAGCTGAAGAATGAATTATATCTATGTGTAACCATGAACTGAAGTCCAATTTTTATGAATGAGATTTTATAAATGAAACAGCGTTAACCACTTTTGGATTAATTTGTTAGTAGCACAACTACACTATTACATCCCTAATGAGTAGATGAATTCTGCATTTACAATAAACAAGATTCTGCTAGTTCTATTTCTCTAAGTGCAACACAGTGAGGCAAAAGGCCTCCTGTTCAAATTCTCTCTCCCTTCACAGGCAGGGAAGGGAATTGAAGCTTGGTCTCCCGCATCCTAGATAAGTCTTCTAACCATGGGACTAAAAGTATTCTAAAACACTGGCAAACACCACTGACTCATTCATCTCTGCACAACTTTTAAATAGTAGAGGGCAGCCTTTGAGCATAACTCTTAGTAGAGCGAGTAAACTAAAAACCCTAGGAATTTAGTGAATTTCAGCACTGACAAGATTCTGTGGGAGTTCTGTGGATCACAGTGGAGGCAAAACCGGGGCTTAGATGTTTAAATCTGGGATTTAGGCATCAGTGTTTCCTATAAACTGTGTGCACATGTGACCATTCAGGAGGGATTCAGATGCCGCCCAGCTGATTAGCAGAATGCCCACAGTTAGATTTGTTTTTATTGGTTTCAAGTAAAATATATTATTGCCTTCCAAACACATCATGTAGATGTCTCGGCGAACAAAAGTGTATTCCACACATGGATGGAAAAGATTAGAGGGAACATTCTTAGGCATCTAAGTACCTTTGTGGATTGGGGTCTGAGTGCTCAGTACTTTCTCAACTCCCACTGGAAATACAACAGGAATAGTGGGTGCTTAATGGCTCTCAGCATCAGGACCTTCATGAGGGTTACACTAGTGAGGCTATACTTTGAGAAGTTAGCCCAGGTGGTTTCTGATGATGGTTCATGTGCAAGTAAGAGTCCAGTATCATTTTTTGACAATGAGGGAATAACTCTATAAGACCTGGCCAGAAATTCCTTATAGCCGAACTGCGTATTAGTGGTTTGCTCTGTTTAGAATCAATACATTAAGAATATTAAACTTTTCTGTCACTTTCTAATTCAAGATATGGGGTGCATAAAATTTGCCATTCAGAATACATTTTATTGGAAATGTATTCAATATAAGTAAAACCACAGATGTTCATAACAAATTTTTTTTTAATGCCATGGAGTATCAAAAAAGTCTTGTTACATAATTTTCTCCATCTTTAAATAATCTCTTTATAATAAGCCTTAGTTTCATAAACTCTGTACCGGATAATGTAAGGTGGACCACACACAAGACTAACATAAAAGATTCTAGGTTTCTAGGATACTACAAGTGTCATATTTTATGATTGGCATTGCTGCAAAACCTTTTATTGGAATATTGTGAAATGCTAACTCTCAGCTGAAAGACACGCTGGGCAAGATACAGAAAACATTAAACTCACCGATACCGCCACCTGCAGTGTACTAACAAATGCAATATTGTTTCAGTCAAATTCAAAGAATATCATTCATCAAGCCTTTTTGGTTCAATTTATTATTCAAGGTATGTGCTAAAATCATTCCAGTATGCGTGACAAAAAGTGAGGAATATTAGCTGAACACTCAATAGCCAATAAGATATTTTTAAAAGCACACAGGCATATGAGTTCAAGCTTTACTTTTTCTTTCATTAAAAGGATTGTAATTACACAAGTCCTTCTGTGAATAAACTGACAACAGCCCAGGTATCTGTGAGACTCTCAACTACAAGATTGTTGATCTAGTTTAACCTCCTTCTCTAAAAAGTTTGACTACTCATCCATCCCATTATACTGGCTACTAAACGCAATATGATGTGATACAGAAGTAGAAAGTAAAAATTGATCTGATAATTCTATACCAACAGAGTAAATTCTACAAAGATATAGAAGGCAAATATTAAATGTTATGCTGAATTTAAGTTTTAAAAAAAACTTAGAACGGTGAAATGACTTGAAGAAGTGTGCAATGACAGTAACATAGCACACATGAATGAAGGTGTACCAATCATTCACTCAGGTATTACCACTTCCTAACTTGCACTGCAATTCCTAATGAAAGGGTGTAGTTTACATGTAAAGGGCCTGTTCATAGACTCATTAATTTAGTGGCAGTTTAGTCTGAGTAAGGACTGCAGCATCTTGCACCAAATCAGGCAAATGTGTCTACACCTAGTATAAAAAAAAAAAAAAACCAAACTCAGAACTAGGCTCACAGTATGGCAGATTGGCAGAAATTTCTAACAGTTACTCTGTACAGTATTAGATCCAAATTCTGCAAACACTTACGTGATTAACTACTAACATGAGTGGTTAAGTGCTTATAGGATTGACCAGTAGTGTTTTTCTTATGAAATTAACTTTATTTTCCTTTTAACAAAGGACTTGCTTTATTTTTGTTCTGAATTTGATTAATGTGTCTGCACATACCTGCACCCCTTTCAATGGGCAGATATACTTCCAGCACAAAAATACTAACACTTCTTTAGACACTGTTTACAGCTTAACTTTTTCAGCTATTGAAAGCAGGGGGCATTCATCATCAAGACTCTGATATTGATAAACAACAGGAAATGCCTCATCTTGTGTTTTCCTAATACAAACGAGCCAAACCTGAAATATGTTAAATACTGTAATACTCACAAAGAGCAAAAAGAAGTGCTTCCCCAGGTGTGATATCTACATCTCAAAAATATATGCTGCCATCTCTGCCAAGGCAAAATAGGCAGATAAAGGACAGTAGCTCTAACTACGGGTCCTTATCGTATTTAAAATACTTTTCCCTCTCTGGATAACAGTACAGGGAAGCCTCTACTCTTCCCATGTGATTAGTGCTAAATTGTTCACATACGGGGTTTCTTTTGGTATCAACGTGTCAGTTTATAATCCTGCTTGCAACTGTTTTAAGTGATTCATTCTCCCTTGCACTACTGAAAAGCCACTCGAGCAAGCTGGTATTTAAGATCAATTTCCTATGTCATTTGTCTTAAAGCACAAACACAAAAAAAGTTTACTGTCACTATCATCTCCATTACGTCCTCCCCAGCCCCAAACCACCAATCTCGCCCATAAATCTCCATCTCCCACTAGCCCGAAAACCGCGAAGATCTAGGAAACGCTGCATATCCTCCAGGTAGGGAGCCTGCCCTCGAGGGAAGAGCAGCCACGGGGGCAGAGTCGCTGTCACATTTCTCTGCTCCGGTTTAAGGGAGCCCCATGGGAAAGAGACAGCGGAGGTGGGGAGAGAATCTATGCAGGAGCTAGGCGCAAAGGAAACGCAGGAGGGAGTGGGAGGGAGGGAGCCCGCCCCACCGAGCTCCGCAGGTGCAAGAGAAAGTCCCCGCGGGCTCTGACACCGCTTGCACCGCGTGGGGACCGTGCGCCAGCCCTCCCCGAGCGCGGCCCCAAGCCGAGAAGCCCCCGGCGGAGCGGCCCCAGCAGCTGCGGGAGAGAGCCGGGTCCGCTGCAGGCAGACGCCCGGGGCACAAGGGAGCCCTGCCCTGCCCTTACCGTCCCAGCTCCGACTCCAGCTCGAAGTAGTGGGCCAGGGTGTCCTTGTTGGAGCCGTCGATCCAGTAATCCGGAGCCGCCCTGCTGGCGGCGGCGGCGCTGGAGGACGAGGAGGGCATGGTGACTTTCAGCATGCTGGGGCTCCGGCCGCCCGGCGGCTCCCTCCTCCGCCGGCCAGGCTGCGGCACCTGAGCGCGGCGGCGGCGGCGAGGAGAGGGACGGGCTGGCGGGGAAGCGCCGCACTGCCAGGAAAACTTCCAGCCTCAGCAGCTGCTGCTCTGCCAGGCTGCGGGAGCCGCCCGGGAGGGAGGGGACGGGGGTCCGGGGGCGGCAGCACCACGCCGCGGAGAATGCAGCGCCAAGGGGCACCCGCAGCAAAGCCTTTGCCCCGGCCCCCTCCAGCGGCTCGGTCCGGGCGCGCGGAAGGGGCGAGCCGGGCAGCCAGCCGCCGTTAGAGCCACACTTGCAGTTCCTGGACTTGCTGGGCTGCTGCCATCGCCATCCGCGTCCCGCAAGAGCGAGGCTGGAGCCAGTCCCGGGAGCAGCTGAGCGAGCGCAGCGCCTGCCTCTACCAGCAGCCTCGCTCTGCCTGTGTGTGAGCACCAGCCAGTAGAGCAGGGTACCTGCCGCGCCGCCTTTCCCCGCGGCCCTAATGCGCTCTGGGTTCCTCGCCAGCCCTCCCAGCAGACTGGAAGACGCCCTGTCAGAAGGGAAATAGTGTCAGAACCTCTCTCCCCTGAGTGCCTGTTAAGCTAAGATCACATCTATTTCCCCGATTTCCTTATTGGTACCACATTCTCTGGGATGATGTTGATGATAAATCGGCTGATTTTCTGCCCTTGGTTATCTTGGACAAGGAAAATTAACTGGCTAGTTTCTCTCTCTCTCTCTCTCACACACACACACACACAATATTAATTTGATCGCGCAATGCCATAAAACTAGAAGGTTTGGGTTGCAAATACTGCAAGGACTGGTCATAAGCAAGGGGAAAGGGATGTCCCGTTTTCCATTTACATTCACAACATGGCTTTGAGGACTAGTACTACAAGTTAAATCTTCACTGTGTGGCAGCATCCCTTTTACTATAAATTATTACATTCCAATCACAGCTACCCTGATTTACTGTGGTGCTACATTACAAGCATTAAACACACACCACAGGATGTGTATCACATGGAGACTATGAATTAGGCTCTAGTTCTGCATATATTTACATGTTTAATTTTACTCATATGAGTAGTAGAGGCACACGTGTTTGCCTTACCAAGGCCTAAGTGTGTATTTTATTTATACTAAAAATAGTTAAATAATCTATTCTAAATTAAAACACAAACCAAATAGCCTTTTTGAGTTAGATCCCCTTCATTTTTGAAGCACAGACTTAGTGCTAGACTTGTATCCATATTTACTTCTATGATAAATTATATATAGGTTCCTGAAGGCTTTTAGTTGACATATTTACTATGTCTCTATCTCAAATATATGGCTGATTCTGTAATGTTTGAGATTAATTTGGGGCTTACATTTATGCAAGATGGACATTTCTAGACACAAAAGTATTTTCTGTTTTTAGTAAGCCTCACACTTTATGCTCATTAAAAAAATCCAGTGTATATATTTGTCCATGGGAGAGGAGAGAGCACCAGCTTTGCAGTCTAGCAGAGATGCACTAACCCAGATATGCAGTATTCTGCAGTATTTCTCCAGCCCCAGAATGGTAGCTGTAGTAAGAGTATAACATATCTGTACAGGATTTGCATAGTTTGATTTTTTTTTTCTTCTGTTGAACTTGAAAAGGTTAGGAGGGAGGAAGGGAGAGATTTTGGAGAAGAAGGATTAACTAGAATGTCCAAATCAGAACACACAGTAATAGCAAACGAAAGACTCCTTTCCCTGCACAACACCAATATAAGTTACTCAAAAGCTCAAGGAGGCACCACCACTGGGACAGTCTGCCAAGTCTGCAGTGGTGATATGCATGCAAATTTAACAAGTACATTGCATTCCTGACCTTAGCGCCCATGCAGAAGTATCTACAGTACTTAAAACAGTTTCTCCTGGTGTAGTCATGAAATAAAAATAGCAGGTGTTGTGTGTAACCAGAGTGCACATCCTAATCTCAATATCTCCGTGCCATAACACCCACTTTTACTGCAATGCAGGCAGATAGGGAAATAGTAAAAATGTCCCTCTTCCAAGCCTGTTTAGCTCATGTACCAGACATGATGTGCAATATGTCCTCTAATATTTAACTATCACCTGGTAACATTTTTAAACATAACTATTCTTGTTCACAATAAGGGAAAAGGTATGCTGAATATTGTGTTAATACGTTTTCTAACCTTATTCATTTTCCCCGCTACATGGAGGGTTTTTTTTAAGTTCAAATAAAGTTGAATAAAAAGTAGCAAAAGCTGTGAAGCTAATTTTCCAAAAGTCATTCACAGACAGAAAGACAATGGGCTTCCCTCTCCAATTGCTTAGTGTCCTCAGGACTCACCATAGCAATTATTCAATCATCCTCCAAATTGGAGATGTGTACTCTTTGAAGGACCCCATCCTCATGCCTTATCCCAACTCTCCAGCTTGCTGTTTGGAAAAGAAGGATTACTAGTTTGGAACTTTTCTACCTAAAGCTTTCTGTTGCTAGGAGACGTGCCTTTTTTGTGACATCTTGTTGCCACAGCATCTCTTGTGACCACGACATATACTTAATAATGGTACTTTATATCTTCTCTATTTTTGTAACATTTAATTAGGAGTTTGGCTAAACAAAAATAGATTGTATGACCCAAAGAACATGCATGTTCTCTTTATTTTACAATTATTTTGTAAGAACCTGTTTATCCAAATAACCATTAACTGAAAGACTCCCTCATCAAAGAGTGTTATTCTAATTACATTTATTTACATGCATTTATATGACTTATCACAGTGGTATATCTAAACATTCACTTCGACTAATCCCCAATTATCCAAATGCATTTGATTTACACTTCAATCACTGGGGAGAGTCACATTAGGTTGACCATTCAGTACTTTAAGACTGACATTTTGTTCTCTAGACTCTCATCTTTCATGGGTGTATCCAGCCCCAGTAAGGGGGAAGCCCAATAGAGTATGTGTGGTCATATTTTGAATATCTGCACCTTCTCCTGTGAGTGGGACTTTATTTTGAAATCTCAAGTCAGAAGGACTTGATTTATGAATGGAATTTGGGAGAGTAGTACTATTCCTTCCACTCTTCCCAATTCAAACCCTGCTTTCTGGTCAGATAGTACAATCTTATCAATAACAATACATTGTCCTCTGTGGGATCCTGAAAAAAATCCTTCCCATTACATTCTATGGCACTGTAATATTTTTCTGAATGTTGCACTGTAGCTGTTAAGATAGAAAATGCCTGGTGCTATGTCTATTATATGCTACACAAGCAAAGCAAGCAACAGCTTCAAATGAAAGTTGGCTCAAAATATTGTTCTTTTCTCTAAAGCCTCATGGATCAGGGCAGTTCAGGTCAGGAGACACTGTAAAAGCCTCCCTTTCCTTTCTGTAATGACACACACACTGTCCCTGCCCTCAGATGCCCCAGGAATCAACACTCCACTGAGTGGCAACTTGGGAATGTAAATAAAATACACAGAGACCAATACAGCCAATATCATATATGAAACAAAATGCAGGACTATGTAGCACTTTAAAGACTAACAAGATGGTTTATTAGATGATGAGCTTTCGTGGGCCAGACCCACTTCTGGCCCACGAAAGCTCATCATCTAATAAACCATCTTGTTAGTCTTTAAAGTGCTACATAGTCCTGTATTTTGTTTCAGCTACACCAGACTAACACGGCTACATCTCTATCACTAATATCATATACGGTGCTTTTCTAACTTTAACCCTTTGCTGCAGCGCCAGAGAAGAGCAGTGGTTTTCCTTCCTTCAGATCTTTACACTCACTGCTCAGTTAGCCCTAATTACTCTCTTTCTCCCAGTAATTTCCATGTCCCTAATAAGACAACCTCAAGAAATAATGACCAATCAGCTTTCCTAGTACTGAAGTTGAATGGAGCAGATAATTAAGCAATCTGCAAACATTTGGAAGATAATAAGGTGATAAGTAACAGAATGGATTTGCCAAGAAAAAAATCATGTCAGCCTAACCTAATGGCTTTCTTTACAGGGTAGCAAGATTTGTGGACAGGGAGAAGTGGAAGATGTGGTCTATCTTGTATGACGTCTCATAAACAAACTAAGGAAATACAGATTAGATGGAGGTTCTATGAGGTGGTTGCAGAACTGGCTGGAAAACTGTCCCAAAGAGTAGTTATCAATATTTCACAGGGGTCCCTGTAGGGAATCAGTCCTGTTCAGTCAAGTCCAGGTCTGTTCAATGTCTTCATCAATGATTTAGATAATGATACAGAAACACTTATAAAGTCTGTGAATGAAGAAATAGATGAGGCTTTTTAAAAACAACTAACAATCATCCAAAGCACAGGATTTGATGGTGGTCTTTAAGGTGCTACTGGACTATTAGTTGTTTTTTAAGTTTTTCCTGTAACAGACTAACCTGGCTACCTCGCTGAAGCTTTTCAAATATCCAGATATAACTTGGGAAACTAACACAGTGGGCACAGATTTCTAAGTTCTTGGACTGCATTGGAGACAATTTTTTAAGTCAGAAAGTTGAGAAAGCTACTACGGAAGGAAGCTGTTCTAGATCTGATTTTAAAAAATAGGGAGGAACTGGTTGGAAATTTGAAAATGGAAGGCAGCTTGGGTGAAAGTGATTATGAAATCATAGTATAGGCAGTCCCCGAGTTACGCGGATCCGACTTATGTTTTCTCCAGTTTTCTTGCCCTGGAGGACGGGAGCGGCGGGACGAGAAAAGCTGCTCCCCATCTCCTTGGTCTGCTGGTCAGACCAGGGAGACGGGGAGCAAAACTGCGGAGGACGCCTGCAGCAGGACAGCCCAGGCGCGCCGTGGCTGTCCCGCTGCGGGCGTCCTCTGCGGCTTTGCTCCGCGTCTCCCTGGTCTGCTGGGGGGGGAGGGCGCAACTAGTGTCCCCTTGCCCCCCAGCAGACCAGGCTTTTCTGCCCATGACGCCTGGGGTAGAGCAGCTGGGGCGCTGCTGGGTTGGTCCCGCAGCGCCGCTCCTCAGCGCTACTGGACCAACCCAGCAGCATCCCAGCTGCTCTGCCCCAGGCGTCCTGATTCAGCCACTGCTGGTCAGTTTCAAAGTGATCTGGACAAAGTGGAGAAGTGTCTGAAGCAAATACGATGAAATTCAATAGACTAATGCAAATTACTGTACAATCCATACATTGAATACATACAAAATAGGAAATGGATGCCTAGGAAAGATGAATTAGGGTGTGTGGTGGGGAAGGTCATAGTGCTAAATGTGAGTGAACAGTATAATGCTGTTCCTAAAAAAGCAAACTTCATTCTGGACAGTTTAACAGAAAAAAAGACCAAAGAAGTTATTTTTATACTCCACTCCATATTGGTGTCATCACAATCCACAAAACCCTCACTTGACAGCCACCTAGCCCTGCAGGTGGCAAAAATCTACCCTGATGCTTAAATATCTACTGTAAAAACTCCCATTTCTAAGCATGAATAAAAAGGCTCTAGGAACCTGATGCTGTCTCATACTTAGGCACAGTGCTAGCCACAAACTCAGGGAGGATGGGACCTACAGGAACTCCTCCTCCTAATCCAGTAGACATCCTCAGCATCTACTTAAGCCTATATGGAAAGACCAGCTGAGAAGAGGAAACACAAAACCTCCACCATAAGCTTTAGTCCAGTGATAAGAGAACTCACATACATGGGAGACAGACATTCAAATTCCCCCCCCCCCTCATGAGGAAATGAAATTTGACCACAGAACCCCCACTTCTCAGAGGAACTCCTGATCACATGCTCTCTGGCCCAATTAATATTATTCAGTTATTTAATTAAAATGGAACAGCCTCAACAAGACCAATTTTGAGACACCTTCCCCCCACATGATTAAGTAATTTGAGGGGCTGGCAATGCCAGTACAGATTCCCTTCTTTTTCCCCTTGCTATTTTTACTTATAGGTTTCAAGGCTTGTCACACATACCAAGCATGCACATAACAGTCTCTGAACTTTTCATCTTTCATGCTGTTTTAAATGTAAATCTGAATCTGCTTAATTATTTCTAAAGCTGCCTGACAAGCAGTTGATGGACAAGTCCACCACATTAATGGGGAAAAGTTTTATTAAGTACAAATGAATATATGGTGCAGGGAAGGTTAGGGAGAGACTGGGATAGGTGTATTTGGGAAAAGACAGTCATTTAATAGCATCATCACAGCTAAGTAGAATGACCTTGGAGAAGAAAAGGGCAGCAGTAACATTCTACATACATACCCTTCACATTTTTTCATGAAAAATCATTTCCCCCAGGCCTAGAAGAAAAGCTGCACACATTAGAATAGGAGTGGTACCTGAAGAAAAGTTGTCAGGGAGAAATGTGATTAAGCTAGCTTTGACCCTCAAAACTAGCAATTCATCACACAGTTGTTGACTGAGTTGTTTCCCAGTCAGACCCAAGTTGTACCATTTTTCCATCTGGGAACATTATATGGACCCCAGTTCCTCTTTACCAGCTGAACATGACAAACTCTTTCCACCTCAAGTGAGAAAACCAATCCCTTGATGCAGGAGAGTAGAAATCTTTCTAAAATGTTAATTTTTCCTCTGGACATTAAACAGCATGTTCTTTAAGCCAATGAAAATGTTAATCATGTTTGGCTTGGCCATTAAGTAAAAATAAGTCATATTTTCTAGGAGGCTTCATAAACCATGCAGTCTTCTTCTGAGACCCACAGAAGGTTCCTGGCCTCTGTCCTTGAATAAAGTATGCTGTTTCCTCCTCACTAGTTCCTGATATCTAATGAATTGCAGGTGGAGATTCCACCATCCTAGACTAGAAACTCAGGTGATCTCTCTCCAATACAATTGATTCTCTTCCTGATCCTTAGCTGATTTATGTCTTAGTCAGCAACAAAATACCAACCAAGCCCCTGTATAATAATTTCACATTAATAATACTGATAACTCTTGCATTCTTCATGCTAAGAAAAGATTTAGTTCAAAATCCCAAGAAAAGTCATTCATTACTCAAAGATCATAAACTGAACATTATCTATCTATATCTATATCACTATGATTGCATTAAATAAAAAGTATTTCCAAGGACAAGTAGCAGTTTATATGTACATAGCAGAGAGTACAAATTAGGAATACACATTTCTGCATGCAGAGTTGCCCACTTAATTTGAAAATTTTGATCTTTTATTTAATTAGCATGGTGGAAATTCAATTTTTTTAACAAAGCAGAAAGACCTTATTGGTCTGTTCAGGCTATTGGTTTTCCAATAGAAACCAACACAGGAGCTGAAGGATTATAATGGAGTCTGCTGCAATTTTCAATAGATTTAGGACAGG